AGCTCCAGAGGTTACCACAAATTTCCTCCCCTCGCGGCTCCACAGGTACCCCAAATAAGGTGTTTGGGAAAATATGAGTTGGGTGTGACTACCCTCGACACTAWTTTTTTAGGATTTTGCGGATTTAGGGCCTGGTCGCACTRCTYGTCATCCRCCAAGTTTTGCGAGTAGGTGCTTGGTTGCACTKAGGGCCTYGTTAGACGCTCCTTGCGAGTTCCTTGAGCCACAAGGAAATGTCCTTGTGTTTTTTWAGGGAAATTTGCRGCGTCGTTCCACTCATCCTTGGGGACCTCCCCCGAGGATGTTTCCTTGTGGCTCACCCACGGCTGTTTCCATACGCAAATTAGCGGCCGCGGGGTCGGTCGTCCTTGGTCCACCGTCTTTTGTCCGTGTGGAGGTGGCGTGGTCCAGCGACGCGAGGCGGGAAACGACATTCGGCGGGCGACGCGAACAGAAATTTAACCCCAAGGGCGTGGGCATTTGAAATTCGAAATTCGAATGACTGCTGCGACGACGACGACGACGTGTGGCTGGCGGCGTGACGACGGCGTGGTGCGGGAAGGGGCTCAGCGCGGCGGAGGTTCCGTCCCGAGGCCGTTCCGACTGCTCGGGCAGCGTGTGGTGCGTCCATCGTCGTGGACCTTTGCGCACGCTGACTGCGCATTGCTCCTCGTTTCCGTGTGCGGGACTGTGAGCAGAGAAAAGGGGCCACCTTCCGACGGACGTCTTCGGCTTCTTCGTCGGGTGCGGAAGGACGATAGAGACGATAGCGGAGCGACGGGGCCGTGTCCACATCGCAGCTATGGAGGGCGGCGGAGAGGGTAGACGTGATGTGTTGATGCCTCGTGAGCTGCAGGCCATGGCAGCGGCCGTGTCCACGATCGTTCTTCGATGTCAGCAGGAGAGGGCGCTGGGGCGATTGAAGGAGCAGTTGCGCGCGCGTAGACGGAGGACATTGACGCAAGGTCCGGACGATGAGGCCGAATACGTGGCGACGTCGGAGGCTGTTGTTCACGTGTGCTACGCGTTGGGTTGCAGAGTGATTCCTCGTGCGGCGCTGCAGTGGTGGGTGAATCGCAGGACAGGAGGCACGTGGGAAGACCTCAGGCAATGCGACGACGCCACAGACAACTACTTCCGGGATAAGCTACGAATGTCGCCACGAGTGTTCTTGGAGATCGCAAAGGCGTTTGTGCCTCATCTTCAGCGGCGGGTCACGTTCTACAGGGAGCCTTTGCAGCCGGACCAGATTGTGGAGTACGCACTGTACAGGTGGGCTACAGGGGAGACGTACGAGAGTAGCATGTGCAACTTCGGGATTGGAAGAGCTTCTGGCCTGGTTGCCTCCGCGACGTTACTGCCGCGCTGCTAAGGGTGTTCGGAGAGAAGATCGCGTGGCCGACTGGAGTTCGTAGACTCGTGGTTCTCCGGGCGTTCGCTGATAAGGGGTTCCCCAACTGCCACGGTTGCATTGATTGTACTCACATCTACGTGGACAAACCGGTGAACGCTCCGAGCGAAAACTACTATGACAGGAAGCGTCGTTTCTCCATCGTCGCGCAGGTTGTCGTCGACCTGGACTTGCGTGTGCTCGACGTGCACATGGGATACCCAGGTAGCTGCCACGACATCAGGGTGCTGCAGTTGTCCAGTCTGTCGCAGCGTGCGAAGGAGGGGTCGTTGTTCAGTGGTCCCCCCGTGACACTGTCGTTCGGTGTGAAGACGAACGGGTATGTCCTGGCGGACAATGGCTACCCCCCTTTGGAATGGATGGTCGTCCCGTATAGAGGCATCAATCAGCACGTCGACGAGGAGTAGTTTGACAACAAGCAGAAGGTGGCGAGGGGAGCGGTGGAGAGGGCGTTCGGCAGGCTGAAGGGCATGTGGCGGCTGTTTCTGCGGACACACAAGACAAACCTGGACACGCTCCCGCATCAGTTCACGCCGTCTGTATACCGCACAACAAACTGATCGACGCAGGAATCCCCTTTGACGAGAATCTGCTATGGGAGGTCGATGCTAATGGTGTGCGACGTCGTGTGGACCTGGGGATGAAAGAGCCCCTTCAGCCTGTGTCGATGATGACGTCGACAAGGGAAGCGTTGGCCCTGAGGCATGCTTTGGCGGAACGAATGAAACACGATTGAGTCRTGTTCCCATGGTGGACGACAGCGCGTGGAAGTGCATTCATTGCAGCAATGGCCGGAGGGCAGATTCGTTGTTCCATCCAGCCTTGATTGGGTTGCTAGCGTCCGTTCCGGGTAGGGGTTGGTSGTTTGCGTCGAGGGTCGTGGTTCGTCGCCCCCTGCTCGTGGATCWRCGTCGGTGTTGTTCTTGGTTTTTTATGACTCGTGTYCACGTCGTGTACTGCGGACACGGCGCACTGCGGGTGTAGAGTGTGCCGTTTTTTGGCACAACGGGTGCTGTTTAGAAGATAGAGCAGTGTTGGTGATTCGGGTGGGCCTGAAACTTGTCCCCCACGTGCCTTCCATTTTTTTGAGTTTGCGCGATGAATTGTTGAACGATTTCGTGATTCCCGAGTTTTTTTTTGGTCGATTTGCAGGAGGAGGAGGAGGAGGAGGAGGAGGAGGAGGAGGAGGAGGAGGAGGAGGAGGAGGAGGAGGAGGAGGAGGAGGAGGAGGA